CATTGTTAAGAGGGGGAAACTTAAAATTTTACTCAAAATTTCATTTTCCCTCCATTTCCCATTTACCCTCATTTTAAGAATATTACATCTTAAAATGAAACCTCAACATGCCGCCTAATATTTATAAGAAGCCAAAATTATATGAACTGAGCATCTTTTTTCTTGTCTGTATTAGTGAAAAAAGGTTGTTCCATAATGGAAGTGTTTTTTTATAAGAATCCTATAATGGAAGTGTCTAATACATTTAAAAATGCCTGTCTGATTTGTGATATTTCCACTATATTCTTCACTTCATACAGTGAGAGCACACAAGGTATCAGATCACTTGACTTCTAAATTGGTTGCCTGGTATAAGGAGAAACAAGCTGTACACATTTGGATAACGAACCATAGCTCAGTAGCATTTTTCGGGAGCAACTCCCACAGACTTCATGGCTTTATCTTGATCCTGTTGGTATCCAATTAGAATATATTATATGAATATAGCCAGTGTATCGTACCTAAACTCCTTAATTACTCCAATGCAGTGGTTAATTGTAGCTTGATTGTTACTTATAAAATAGTTATCTGTTTTACGAGAAGGAAATTGTAAACTTGTTTTGCAAGTTTTGATATATAGATTGGCCTATTAGACCGATTCACTTTCATATATATAGGTAATATACATACAAAAACCGAGCCAGGCATATACATATACACCAAGTTTAATTAATTCTAAACAAATATGGTATTTTTTTGTTTAACATTATGTGGAACACAAAATTTAATTTAACCCATGATTAAGTGATAGCAGCTTGAGCAGAAAAATAACATGTATCATGCATTTAACGGTTCGGTCTATACAGTTATTTGCATAAAGTAGGTGTATTCAATTAATTTGCTTGCTTTCAATGTTGCGGTTGCCGAGGATCTTCCAGAAACAACATCTCTGCCTTATTAAAGGTAGGGGTAAGGTCTGCGTACACACTACCCTCCCCAGACCCCAGTTGTGGGATTACACTGGGTCTGTTGTTGTTGTTGTTGTTGTTGTTGTATATGAATATAGCCTGTAGGGATTTCTATTAACAATAACTAAAACTGGTATACATGCATGTATATTTTTTGTATTTCTCGTCTTAATAAGGTGTTGATATGTTAGTCACTCTTATGTATTGAAGATGCATATTGTTCTCCCATGTGTTTGGTGGTATTTTGCAAATTCCTTGATTTTATTTTCTTAGGTCAGAGTAGATGTGGACAAGGAGGACACAAGAATAGTTTTTGAGAAAGTTTTGGCAAATTTAGCACGTTCTGCACCACCTGTTCCAGGCTTCCGCAGGGAAAAAGGAGGTATTATTTTTATTTAATGATTTTGATCAAGGAGACATTACTACAACTTTCAATCTCCTAATGGCCGCAAATATTATCACCGAGTATTTCCTCAACCTTATCGATATTGTCTTTCCTTCTTACATCTGACTTGCTTTTGGCAGTCTATTCCATTTAATCATATAAAGTACCTAACCTGATTCGACTTTGGCATTCCAAAAGTATCCTTTATTCATGTCATGTTACTATTTGTGTTTTGTAAGAGTTCTCAATTCTTCGAGGTACGCGCTACTTGGCCCAGACACAGCGTCTTTAAAAAAATATAGAGTTCTCAATTCTTCTCCTGTTTCTTTCAACAGTCAACTTTGTCCTTGGCCAGGAAAATCTTTGGAAATGTCAGAAGCTAGCATTTGCACTGGGTAACATGAAAGTTGGCAAGTGAGATCAGTGTGACAAGCGATGTTGTTCTCGCACAAGTCATAACCAGAAAAGACAACTAATTTTCGATGATTTTTGCAAGAATGACTCCGGGGATATATCACAATATTCTCTTTTCGCAGAATATGAGTTGGATAAACTTGATAAGCAAGAAATGAACATAGTGGTTTTGGGAGTGAAAACTATTCCTGTTTTGCGTAATATGCTATTGACCGGTGCTTTTGCGTTTTTTCTTTCAATTTTAATTCTGGGGGGCCTTGGTAGATAGAGAGCGGAGGCCGTCAAAGTTTGGTCAGGTCTTATCCTATCTCTCTTTCCTATATCCCTCTCACTTTCGCAGTGATCACATACAACTTCAGGTCTTCAGCTAATATGCCATGTTCCATTTTTAATATTTTGTGAATTTACAGTCGTTCAATCTCTAATGCGTGAATCTAACTTATTGTAATGTTGTGTGCATGGTTGCTGCTCCAGGGAAAACATCTAAGGTATGTACATTGCGGTGCTCAGCCCAATATATCTTACCTTGTTTGATAGCACCAAGACCAGAATAGTTTGTATATATTATTTTCTGGCGTTAGCTGGAGAGTATCTAAAACAGTAGTTGTATTTTTTTAAACTTCTAAAGGATTTTTTTGTTTTTTCAGATGTTAAATATCAATATGAAACAAAGTACTATTATTTCATGTCAATTTGACTGGAGAAGAATGATTTTTCCATATAGGGGAGGAGTTAAATAAATGAGATGAATGGAGTTTTAAATGGAGAAAGATGATTTTTCAAGGATGACAAAAGACATCTTAATTAAAATGTCCTGGAATAAGAAGTGTCCTGAAGTCAGTGTGGCTCGTTTGAAGTACTTGTGCTTATTATTTTGCAGATTGGTCCTCATTATTGTGATTGTTCTTCTTGCTCTTAATCGCCTCTTTAAGAAATACGGAGAATAATATTTTTAATATGTTTTACTGGAAACGGGAAAATGATATCCTAGTTCTAGTGCATTTCTCTACTTTACGCTTGACAGCTGATTGACGACTTCCACAGGTTCCTAGGGACTTTCTACTGCAGATACTTGGTGAAGATCGAGTTACCAATTTTGTAATCCGGGAAATTGTTACCTCAACCCTCGCTGATTATGTGAAGAAGGCAAGTTAATCAATATTATTTCAACCTTTATTGAATTCCAATTAGATCTTCTCTAAACTTTGAAGGTCATTAATTCTGCAGGAGAACTTGTCTGTGAAGGATAACAAGATTAGCACCACCCAAACTGCCGATGAACTCAAATCATCGTTTACTATTGGAGCTGAATTCGGATTCAACGCCACCTTAGAGCTTGAAGATGCAAAAACTGAAGCCACCACAGACTGACAGAAGATGTGACACTTGTTTTGCGTAAACGTCAATCTCATTATCTAATCTGTTAGAATCAGTAATTCTTGAGGCCAGTAGATTGAAGATCTTCAAAGAGCTACTCCTATTAATTTGTAAAATGTGAGAAGTGATGGCTTAGGTTGCATGCATGATATATACATTATATAATGTTATGGTGTAACATTTCTCTTTATGGCTTTGTTGGGTTGTCACTTGTGGTGGTAGAAAATGTCTGTCTCTAATAATGTTTGTGGCATTGGGCAACTATCAGCTTTGAATTGGAAAAGAAATCCAATAAAAGTTAGTACTAATTGCAGCCGTCGATTCTCTCGAGAGATCATAATTGTCGCGAGCAAAGATAAACGAGGAAGGCTCTTTTGTTATGCTACTATTACTTGCTCTGTTATTCTGCCCAAGCCTGTTCGAGGAAGAGTTATGGACGTAAAATAAAAAGATATATTGGTCGGGCCCATTCATGATACATAATGAATAATAAATAAAAAGATAAAAAGAAAAGTGATCACGCCCAACTATACCTTATAAAAAGGACTAAGCGGTCGTTGCAAATATAATTCAGTTTATAAGTTCGTCGAATCCCATAGAGAACTAAGGTTTAACTACAGTTGTTCAATATTGCTAAGAAACACAAGTCCAAACAATTTTCTAAATTATAAAGATTGAGATTTATATTTCTAACTAATTAACTAACAAATATTATAAAGCATTAAAATTATCAACTAACAGGGATGAAATTGGAGACAAGCCTAAGGAGGTCTAGAGTTATGATTTTCCCAATTGTCGGAATCCTTCCCGCTACGCCTTCTATAATTTCGCCTAAGTATTCCCTACCGATCGTCAGTACTTTGGGTGTCGTAGCTCTCTCTCGAGCAACTATCACAATTTACTATATGTATTCTCTCGAACTACGCTAGCTGGCACTAATTCACTGCTCACTATGATCGCACCAATATTTCGTTATCTCTAATCCCACCTTTAAACCCTCTGTATTGATCTCTCACATGCGTTAGGAGTGATGTTGTTCAACAACTACCTAAATGTGTACTCTCTCTCGAGCAATATACACACTAAATAGTCACAGTTAATTGATGGCCATTCAATCAACAACAATAAACACGTAGTTGAACAAGTAGAGGAATCCAATGGCTCAATTATATAAAAACATAACAAGAATTTATCCGACAAAAGGTTCTATCAAAACTCTAGATAACAAATTAGCTATTCATAATAGTCTGCAAAACTACAATACTAAAATTCATAACCATTAACGAAAATAGGAAGAATGAAGTGAAAAACTCATAAAAGAATTCGCCTTCTTGCTCCTAGCGTGTTCTTGCATCCTTAGGCTGAATCTCATCTCTAAAAACGCCCTCTTTGGTTGAATCTACCGTAAAATCGGCTCCTCTTGTGCTTGGCAGCCTTTTTTTCCTCCAAAATCGTGCCCCACCCTAGAATAACTCATTTGGGGAGTATTTATTTCAATCCCCAGACCAAATCCGGGTTGGAATTTTTTAACCCGTGACTTTTAATTACCGTGATATAAACCTCGCGAAGCCTGGTCTATAGCGCGGTGGACCTGGCTATAGACCTCGCGAAACCTGGTCTATAGCGCGGTGGACCTGGCTATAGACCTTGCGAAGCCTGGTCTATAGCGCGGTGGACCTGGCTATAGACCTCGCGAAGCCTGGTCTATAGCGCGGTGGACCTGGCTATAGACCTCGCGAAGCCTGGTCTGTAGCACGGTTTGGATACTTGATGCTTTTGTACTTTTTTCTTGTATTTTTGTCCTCTTTTTTTGCAACTTTCGTTCGACGATTCCTTCTGATGTTCCTACACATAAAACAACCCAATTTAGCTCAAATATCGCACAATAACTCATTAAAACAACAAAATATAAGGTGAGTAATGTGCTAAAAGTATAATATTTTGGTCTCACATCAAAAAGCCATCCCATTTTGATAAAAGACCCACACCCATATTCCATATCTTTTGGTTATAAGAAGAGCGATCTAAAAATAGAAATAAGAGTAGTGGGGACGATATTATGAAATCATATTCTCGTCCATCTTTCTCAATGATCCAATTCTAGCTCTTTTTTCTTTTAGGGACAAGTTCATTTTCATTCACTCGATATGCCAATTGCCAAGTGTGAAGTAACTTTACGATCCAATGACTTCCTAAGAATCAGATAACAAAATGCAAATTAGAATAAGCTGATGGATCCAAGTAGCGACATGTTCCAATCGAAAGGAATTGCATGTATGCTAGAAAGACGTATAGGCAAACCTTTTTTTATGATCATACAAATTGCTTTTCATAACTTTTCTTTCCACATGCATAGATTGCAATCTAATCAATATTCTAACTTTATCGAACCGAGAATCAGTCTTTTGATCCTCCTTGAGCCTACTCTTGTCTTTGAATTAAGCTTTGGTTGATGCAGACCGCAGATGTTGAAGGATCAGTTGACACTAGATAAGAAAGGTTTTCAATTGAAGATCTCGAACGTGTTCTGAAGTTACTTTAGGATTTGGTTTTTGATCTAGTTGATGTTCTGGCATCTTAAATCAAGGTGACTCTAAATTCAAGTTTGCCTACCTCTCAAGTTATAGAGATATGAGAGGGGCTTCAGAGCCGTAATTCAAGCTAGAAACCAGCCATATCAATTTAGGTAAGTGGTGACAATAAAAAGTCTTTTAAGCGTGATGGGCAATGAGTGAGGTAGGATAAAATAGTATTCGAATTAGGATGGATTGAGGAGGCCCTATGTACTCTGCCATTTCATTGGTGGTGGTCAGAGAAAAAAACCATTCATTAAACCTTTTGGAGCTGGATACGAAGTGTTGTTTGAAAACATTTTCAAAAATTATTTGTAGAGGGTATATATCACGCTAAATATACATAGAGCAATAATGTTATGATATATATATATNGGAGACGCACTTCCTAAGTTTATTGTACCCACAGGAGACGCACATCCTAAATCCATTGTACCAGTAGGAGACGCACTTCCTAAAAAATTTTCACCAATAGGAGACGCACTTCCTAAGTTCAGTTTCACCAATAGGAGACGCACTTCCTATGGAGACGCACATCCTAAGTAGTTTCACCAGCAGGAGACACACTTCCTAAGTTCAGTTTCACCAATAGGAGACGCACTTCCTAAGGAGACGCACATCCTAAG